ATCGTGTAACATGAATGACACGATGTGATTGACAGCCTGGTCTTCAGGTTGTGGGGTTGAGCTGAGAACACGATCCATTATCTCAGTGGGAAGCTGTACAGGGCCTACAGAAAATTCACCCCAGGCACGCGAATCCCAATGTGGGGAGGGGATACTTCCCCCCTATTTTTTGACTCGGGGGTGGGCTGTCGGATCATTCCCCCTAACACACTTATATGTGCCAAAAAGAGGGAAGATTTTGAGAATTTTTTCTAACTTCTAAACAATCAACGTGTATTCAGTTGTACAGAAAAGGGCGATAAAGTACACACAAATTTCATAAGCAATTTGATGTAAGGTTATAAGGGGTGTAAATAGGCCTACACATAAGATGTACATCTGCATCATGAACGGCGTTCCAAAGTGTCACGTGGTGTCGGACATCCCCCTCCCTCTTTCCACGCAAGTGCGATTTTCTGATTGAAGTCATCCCCCATCCCAGACCCCACCCCACCCCACCCCACCCCCCGTCCGCAGCGCAGATTTAAGCGGCCGATTCATTCATATCAAAGGCCACAAAACAACCTGCGAAAGTCAGGCTCTCAGCGGCGAAGGTATAGTCCTACGCTGCAGAAATAGCCGGTTAATGTATTCGATTGTTAGCTGCATCTGTATTTCATATTTACTGCACACTAAATGAGCCAGTACCTTGTAACCTCGTTACTTTTTTGGACTTTATTTTTGGACTCATCTGCCGGCTTGCTCGACTTAATGAATCTTATTGCAGCTTGAAAGAGGAGAATGTGAATAGTGATACGACATTACCCGTGGTCACTGACCCCATGGCGTGACACTTGTGAAATTTTATCTCGGCCCGCGACCGGGGGGACTGACCAAAAAACTATTGTTAGCAGAGAGATAACTAGAAATATACGAAGAGACATTCCCCCGACACCTTCGCATCCCTCGGGGTAGAAATCTCGTTTTCTTGGGATTTCTTTTTCGACGAAAACCCAGCTTCATTGTAAGTGACAAGAAGGCGGATGCATTTGCGGTCTACAAAAGAGGACATTCCGAGCAAGTAATCAGGAATGAGAGCGATTGTAAAGCTTTCGTGAACTGCGCTATTACGTCTTTTTAAAATGACTAGATTTAAACTATAAGATTAAGATGTCTTGCAAATGTGCCTTGTAAATATGAATAAATCTCTCGACGGATTAGGTTAAACTTTGACATTAAGCCTCCAGTTAGAGTTGTCATGCAACTTTTATGATGTGAGAGGCTGCACGGAAAAGAAACGCTCCTCATCCTGCCCCATCAACGCTCTGTAAAGAGTACAGACCATGAATGCGTGCTAAGAGCTCTTCTACCGACAAGTGGAATAACAACAGTAATCTGATCAAGCGTACAACGTTTCAAGGACCTCACAAAAAGTATACTTATTTCATCACTTTATATGGGTGTTGAGGGCAGTTGTTTATTGAAATATATATTTTTTTCTATGACCGCACAACCTGAGGTTATTTTTATCAAAACACTGCCATGTTTGAAATGAATGTTAAATTGTTAAAATAGTAAATGCATATTCGATCTAGCTGATGAACTCTACTGGCATAGCCGGACGAAGAGTGGGATAAAAGGTTAAAATGTCTGCGCCCTAAAGTTAGAGTGTTGACGTAAATGTAGACCTCGCTTTATGACGTAAATTAATTTTTGTACGTTTGAACGGAGCAATGAATTAGTCACAAAATTATTTCTTAAGAATATTACTCCACTGCGTGGAGGGATAATTATTGAATAGGCTGTGGTATAAAGCAGTTGTGTAGTTTGTGCCTTCCTGGTGAACTATGGCCGGCCGTCAGTGCAAAAGTAAACTAATCCACTATGTTTACAAATCACACGCAGCTATACTTTGCGTTAATTTAACACCGTGGGTGCTATCAGAACACTACACCATACAGGGCGTAGTCGTCTGATGACACCGAGGTGTTAAATCAACACCAATTTAATACCACAAGTTTTGCAGTTTACCAAACCACCAAATAATAAATAATAATTTCTAAATGATAAAATACGGCGATCTTGAAAAGTGATGGGGCAAATGTTCATTTGGAGATTAAATTCTGAAACAATAACAGGTGAATTTTTTTTTAATGTTCGGCCGCCCATACGAAAAAAGCCGTCACCAGTGAGAAAGGTCTACATATGCTTGCACGGAGATTAATAGTCCAATCATTCTTTTCGGCGCTTCAGTGATTCTTGAGGATCGATGCACGTCTTCCTTCCAGTGCCGGTATGTCAGTTTCTTGAGCCTCAAGAGAGACCTTGCCCGTTCAAAAATTGTTCGTCCGTCACAAAGACGGGGGGAAAGTGGTTCGTGTCAATTTCACGGCAGATCTTGGGACATTACCACGGGTAGAACATGACAGGATTAACATCACATTCTTCTGTGATTGTAGTCGTAAAAGAAAATTATAAATTAAATGTGGCATTCAAACCAAACATCTGTTTGTTTCTTTAATTGTGTTAACAGACATAGTGAAAAATGTGTGACCACATTAATTGGAACACCTGTGCATAAATGCGCCATTGTGTGTTACGGGGATGGGATCCAACACCTTACAAAACATATAACTTCTTTTGGGGGAAATGAATAGGTTTATAGCAGTCGCGAAACCCCCCAAAATAGGGTCATTGCCAAAGGGCAGAGCTGTTTATAGAGAGAGTTGCAATATGGGTGTCTTTAGAGCAGCACGATTTAATGAGTCACTACTGTGAAAATGAACTTTAAGGACACCTGGTGCACTCATTTTGTCCTTCAGTTATTCCTAAACACATGTGGTGAAAATGATGTTTTTCGAATATCACGTTTTTGAAAATAACCCTTCTTTTGAAGGTTGGCTCACCATATTCTCAGCTCCAGATGCGTCTATTTTCATAAAATTCCGAAATATGCCGTACCACCCCCAGAGGCCAGTATCTTCAAAGAATATTCCAGCAGGGTGTCGGTTCAGGAAGACCTGAACTCACTGACCTGAACTCGGAAACTGTTTTCCGTTTTGTAAATACCCCCCAAAAGAGCCCAGTCTGAATTCCATGATGTACGTTACCGCGAAGGTGAGTGTCAGTTTTAAACATAGCAGCGATGCCTAAACATCCTGCCAATAATGGTGGCCACAAGTTTTCCTTCTGAGAAGGCTGGGACAGAACTGAACTCTTAGATTGCGTCACGTAGGTTTTTTTTGTCCAGAGGGAAGTGATTCTTTGAAATACGGACCCTGACAGTACCAGCAGAATCAGGCCGTGCTACGCTTCTCTCCTACTCTATTACACCTAGCAACCTATTTATAAAGTGCCTCAATTCAGGTAAAACCTTTTATTACAACTAACAAAGTGTACAGGACAGGGATGCCTTTACACTCAACTGACGTTTCATTCAAAGGCATTTGGTACAGTTTTTTGGCAGTGCACTGAAAGTGTCAGGTGTTAATGGTCGTGATTTCGACGCGGATTTTTCCCCCGGTCCTCGTTACTGTGTCTCTGTTCGACGCCCCCAGCTGCGAGTGTCAGGTTTGTCTCCCACACTTTGGGTCTCGTTTTGGGGGGGTCCCAATCCCGGTGTTTTAGGATGTTTTTTTGCCACGGCACCTCCATTTCTTCGGGGAAAAAAGTCCACTTTCTCTGCCTTCCACTCACAATTGAAAGTGTTGCATTTTACATATCGGGCTGGCTAGCAACAAACCTTCTCGCCACCATGACGTCACTGAAAAGTCTACACCCCCGAAGCACAGTCGAATGATGCATGGCACCTGCCACATTGGGGCCTATGTGCCACATAAGTCGTGACAGTGCCACGACTCATTAAGTATTGAATTGAATCTCGTGACTTTCAAGGTTTCCTGACTATGTCAATAGAGAGTACGTTTAGGCCAAAGATACCTTTTTCTGTATTGTTTGATATGTGTCAGATCGCGATGGAATTATCAGAGATATTACGGTAACATAATCAGAGAAATATTAGTATTTCCATTGTAAATATGATAAGATCACAAAACATTACAGTAGACCCTATTTCCTGTTTCTTTAGGAAGTATAGTTCAATAACCCAAGTCTTGTGACTAAAACCAAAGTCTAAAGTTCTTGATCATTTCCAGCGTAGTTATTCTTAAATAATTCTTATCTATGGAACCTAATACTAATGTTGTGTTACCCTACGAGACATCACGCTTTTTATTTCTTGAAAAAAGCAGGTCTGGTTGAACTCAGTACTAATATCTTTTTAAAAACGTAGAAATGGTACTCCGTCTACGTTAGCAAAAGCACAAAGGTTTAAAGCTAGATTGTACGTCAAATTCTAAAATTTATCACAATAATGCAGATCTTCTGGCTGGCTGTCAGAATATGCATCAAATGTTTTTATAAATATTTCTGGACTACCCATTTTTCAAAGCTTTTCTGTGTACCTTACTAATTTGGCATAACACATACGCCATTTTTGACGGCTATGTAGAGTCTTGGATGAAATTATTTTACGGAGGAAAAGCTGGACATTTGCATCATTACGAGCCACACATTTGTACAAAAGTGTCGATTTTGCAAGAAAAGTTCACTTGGTTTTTACAGAACGTTGAACTTGCTTTTACAATTAACAAACTTCAATGTTAGGCATTTGTTCAGCCTGAAATGCAACAATAGGTTTTCGTCAAGCCGCCATTCTCCACAAATTTACTTTCAATGGACGGGAAAAATCCGCACTTTGGAAAACATGCGCAATTTTAGACTTCCTTCAAAATATTTAGCGAAACATTCCTCAACCTTCCCCAACACCATCAGTTAACTCGTCTGCTGCCTGGCCTGCCTGAAGGGAGTTTTAAATACAATGTGATTTAACAGAAAAATGTCTAAATGTTCCCTTTTGCCGGGCAGAAATTTTTATTCAAGTATTACCTATGAAATCAGACAAACTTTTCAAATAAGACAATAAGACAGCGAACAAAGCCGTTTAAATGTAGCTTACTTACCGTAGGCAATGCAGATGATGAATGCAATGTATCTTGTCATAGTGCTTAGCAACCCGCCAGTAGCCTGGTCTGCTCTGTCCTCAGTTCCCGCCCTTTTTTTCCCTCCCTCACCGACCACCAAGCTTGACAATGGTCACAGCACACGTTGAGTAACCGCAGTAGTCACGGTACGAGCAGGCGACAATCGGTCACGCAAGCGCTTGTGGAGAGGGCACAGGCCTTAACCGCCGTTTTATACAACCACCTGGACGGTGATATGAAACACAAGTCGTGATTGGCCACAAAGAACAATAAATCTGCTGACGTAATGTGTAAGTTCGACAGGATGCCCAGGATGTATGTCACTCCAATAAGATACGGTATGGAGATATTTCTACATCCAAAATGTGTCACAAAAGTCTACCGGGTTTTTGTTGAGAGGGACAAAAGGCAGGAATGGGCCGACAAATTCAGTACCTTCTGAACAAAGCTCCTTCGTGGATGTACCCACCCTCTATAGTCCTCATCCCTTATGCCTTTTCGCTGTAAAGCGTAAATACTCTTGAACCGCAGACGAGTCCCCTGCGGTCAACCCGCGCCGTTCACTCGGCTTGACAATTTCAACATTAGACGCAGAGTAAACGTTTCAACGAAGAGTAAATTCAAGTCTCAGTATTTGCAAAGCATATCGGGTGTATCTCGTAACGACGTAATAACATCCTATTCCCACAGTGGTTGTACTGTACTGCCCTGAAACGTGTTTGGTCGATTGGGCATTCTAATGAGAAACGATGTACCACAAATTCCCGTATTCCTAGGCATACATCCGGGAAGAATATGAGAGCATCCAAACCGGGAAATTGCCGTCTTGTGTCTGAGAAACTTCAGGTAATCGTGGTAATGAAGATGTCCCTGTCGTAAAAAAAATGAGGGCAAATCGTCAGCTTTGGTATATTACACGTGTATCTGATTCTCCTGTGGTCATGCTTAGGCGCCCATCACCCGTCTTTTCCTCTGTATTTGGCATCAGGAGGGCCCAGAAATTCAAAGTGTATGCACCACTGCACGCTCTCTGAAAAACTGGACGTTATTAAAGGGAGATATCAGTCTGGGCGTACAATTAAAGTGAACTTTTATCTGGCTGGGGAAGGTGACGTGACCCAAACATCCGAGAACGTTTGGCTCGCAAATCATTTATATTGTTTAAAACCAATGCGCACTCTTGTGCATCGTTTCGCATCGCTGTGTGCCATCATCGTCTCGAAGGAGTGGAATTGTCGCGAGACTTTGAGGGTGATTCTTCCGGAGAATCATTAATGCAGTTGGTTTCAAATGACATTTTACCTGTAATTGAGCAAACTTAATCATCGGGGCAAATAATGTTTGTGGTTTAGCATACCTAATTTCGGGGCAATGTTTGTGGTTCAGCAAACTTCATTTCGAGGCAACAGGGCCAATAATGGAATAGACCCACGTCTTGAATTTTCAAATAAAAGTGCAATCACATTTTGTTCCAATCCTGTTTATAAGAACATGTCATACATGAATATCAAGACAAGGAAAATTCAGTTAAGACAGACCCGCATTGCCACTGTTGGAAACATCGACGTACGTCAGCAATCCACCGCCCCAACCAAGTCCGTATACACGTCAGCATCGTCACGATGACGTTATCACACCGCCGAAGTATCCTCGTATCCAAATTGTAATTTCGCTCTCCCCACTTTTTTTTAAACGAGGCATCTTCAAATGTCAGCACGGACACCAAACACCAGCTTGGGAATGATTTGTGGATAAACAGAACGAGACAGACTGGGCTAAACAGGCAGGGTCACCCATCAGCGATAGGGTCCCAGCACGACACTGCTTGTCAGCGGGCCACTCACGAGTCTTTGGGTGATTTAGGGCAACTGCGCTCATTTCCACTTAAGTTGATTTTTCCGCGCAGTATAGAGGAAACTCTGTCTATTCACGAAGCCTGTTTTGGAACAACCAAGACTCCACTCATCAGCGGGGAATAGCAGAGTCTAGTCATCTGTTGATCAAAGCCTGATTTTTGACCTATTTTAAAACAAGGATCTACAATCATTTTCCCCCAAAACCCTATTGGGTCTTGGAATATTGAGTACGCAAAACTGTTGGGACATGACAATTATTAAAAACTGAAAATCGTGGGTGACAATTACACCGACTCATTTTCCGTTTCTCGACTGTCACACAGAAAGTGCACACGCAATATTCTGAAGAAGGATGCTGTTATGTGCAAGTTGTTAATAATCCAAAACAAAAATAACGATATTAGGTCATCATAAGGTTCTGTAATGACTGAATTCAAAAGCCCAATATTTGTGGTACACTAGCTGTAACAGAAGATCCGGGCTTTTGCAGATAATGTTGCTGAACCCTTGAGCTGTCGTCTCAGTAATGATAGCTAATGATGAATGATACTAGAATCTACTCAGGAACGCTCATATTTTTCCGAAAGCAATATTAGCTGCTCTGGAAACGATAGCGATAATCAAACATTTTCACCGAGTTATCCCCGTGTATCAAGGAGAGCATGTTTTGCAGCGCAAACATTTCGAGAGGTCGCATGCAGGGGAACCAAGCACTCGCCCGTGATGCTACCAGCGATTTTCAGCGTCACCTTTGTTTGCCGACATTTTCGTGATGACATTTTTTGCTTCGCCTTAACGAGGTTCGGCACCGGTAGCGTTGTATTTATTTTTTCCACATAACGATTTCGGGCCCTTGTGGATTCTGAACGGATTCGACGAGGGTAAACATTTTCAGTAATTGCTGGCGTTAGTAGGTCTTTGCTACCATCGAATATTAAAAAAGGAGTCTTTCCATCAGAAACAGTCAAACATATTTATTAGAATTTTAAAGAGTTGCGCGGAAGAAATATTTCAACCTCCGCTCTCCAAGGAATCGTAAAAACACGACGAAGAACCCTGCACAGTTTTGCTGTTTGGTTGAAAATACGCCTTAAAAACTCGATTTGCTGGTACGATCGGCCGCTTCGATAGTACGTTGCAATGGCATAAAGGGTTGTACCAGTGACGGGGAGGAGAACATGCGAAGTTCACAGAGCGCCAA